CAATTTTGAAAACTTTCAAAACATCTCTCGTACCTATAAATTCCGAATTGTACTCGAGATCGTGCGATTTCCTATACTTATTTGCATCAGTACTTAGTTATAGCTGCTCTAATGAACGTTCTGCTTACACCTGTAAAGTTTGGCCTCCATAAAATACTACACGGTGCCGTCCGTGTGTAATTGAATCGCCATGTGAATTAGTCTCCGCTACAAGAGTCCAAGAAAATGAATTTTTTACAGAGTAAATTAAAAGTACTTTAATAGTTATTAATTTCTTGGAATTGCAAATTCTTACTTGTTTGTTTGTTCTTTTTTTTAGTTTAAGACCATTTTAAAACAATTGGACAAACAAGCTAGATAATTGGATCACGGGGAAAATAATACGATAATTAAATTCAGGGTTACTCTTTAGTGTCGGAACGGTCAAAGACGACGCCCTTTTCTAGCCTAATGACTAGCTGATTAGCCGAGTTTAAGAAAAAACCTCGGCACTAACGGAAGAATTCAGGGCACGGTATCACAGATCGAAAACACTAAAACAACCTCTGGACCGGATCTAAATCTGGCCACGAGACTATACTCACAGCAGTAGATCGAAATGGAATTTAACGTGTTTTTTTGGGTGAAGAGATCGAGATATCACAAACAACGGAATCTAATTAGAAGGGAATGGGATAATCAAGGAGCATGCAATACGTATTTTTTTCACCCGTCTTTGTTTTTCTCTTTCATTCCAATATGGTCTAGCGCTACGTTCACTCCGCACAGTGCAGAAATACTTGTACAAAGATGGCAAGGTACATTCATACGACGTGATATAAGCGTCACTATCACTTTTTATCAAGATTTCGCYGTCTTTTCCATATCATCTCAAACGGGGGAAGGGGGTTCTGAAATCGAAGTTGAGCCACATCACATGCCGCAATCACACCGTTACTAACGTCACTGATGTCTTGTAGTCCCTTGCCGACTAATGAGGAGCTAATTAACTAGCTAAACCTTTAACTAAGTCATAMCCTTCCGAAATTCCTTAAAAGGAATAAGTTCGTTTTCGCTGCCATGAAATCTTCGAGGGTTTTCAGTTATGCACGTTCGCCATTTAATTATTTTTTTGTCGAGCATGCGCAGTAAGAAATAAAGGCTCTGGGTATACGAGATTGGAAACGGTTGTTGTTTCGAGCATGCRCAGAACTCGCTTCTTTACATCATAAGTATCTACTGGCTCTCAAGAACTAGTGTTTGGCGTAACAGGTACGAGGCCAAGAACCAGTTTAATTTTGCCCAAGTTTCACACACACACACACAAAAAAGTGTTAACTATTCAGGTATATCGAGCAAATAATTTTTACTGAAAATATCTTGAAGATTAATGCACCACAGTATACGAAAATGGATGAAGTAGTTTGTCGAGAAGCACAAACAAAGTTTAAAGAAGAAAAGGAGAAAGATAACGACAACACAAGAGAAACTAGCGGTGATTATGAGAGACCGCAAAAAGGATTATCTTTTTTGTGTCTGCCAGTCAGTTTCTTTTCCAGACGAAAAGAGAGCAAGGACAGAAGGACAACATTCGAGGTATGTGAACGCAAAGCGATGAATAAAAAAAATACCGATAAAGAAAAACGTGGCAGAGCCGAGCGCTTCACAAACGAAAACGACGGAAATTTTCTTATCTTCCCAAGACCAATAATTTTCAATCGACGTAGGCTTGCCATTTGTGAGGAAATGGAAAAAGAAATGTTTTTCGATGGAGGAATGTCGCTTAGAAAACAGAGAAAAAATCTGATCATAAAAAGAGAACTGCAGCTTTATGGATTATTGTGAGTTTGTAAATTTAATAAAGATTTCACGTGATTCCCATTACTTTTACTTTTTTATTTTGAATAAGTAAGATTAAAAAATAAGCTATTAAATAATTAATTAGTATAGGAAATCGCACGATCTCGAGTACAATTTAAAGGCGAGTGCAATTAAAGAACTTTCAAAACATTACGAGTGTCTATTAATTCCAAATTGTACGAGAAGATTGTGCGATTTTTTGTTGATAGTTCACTCAACAAAATTTCAGTAAAAAATGCGAAGCGACGCCGTTCATCTTTGTCTAATTTGGCTGCCGATTTTCAGTCCATCGCGCAACTGAAATGCATAAAAAAGATTAGTTCTTATTAGTTTTTACAGCTTTTTTTTTGCCGCTGTTGACATTGTTTTGGCTGTGTTTCCATAGCGACTTAATTCGGTAACAATTACAATTAACGCTATAATTGTACTCCTCTCGACCAATCAGAGTCGAGTAATTTTGTTGAGTGTACTTTAATAATAATAATAATAAATAATAATCAAATACATGCAATAGCGCCGTAAGGAAGAAACGGTCTGCGGTAATCTCAGTTCAACTCTCTGTAATTCTTACTGCGCATGCTCCACTAAATATCTCTAACATGGCTTTTGTCGCCATTTTCCGACCACGTGTCATTCCTTTAGAATAAGATTCTTTGTTTGAGTTGTATCCATATTCATATCTGGATCTTCTCAAGCACAACTGTTAAGCAAAGAAATGATACTCTATGAAATTACACCGAGGTCTAAAATAGGAAAGCATTACGTCCGAGGTAATGAGGTCTATTAATAGGCTTTTTGCAATAGATTGACACGTGATTGTTACTGGATGGCAAAAAATTGGACTTTATTTATTTATTGCTGGAATGCTAATGTCGTGACCAAAACCTTTTCAACAATACTTTTTTTTCTCTTATAAGATACTTTGGATTTCATGGTACGAAGCTTTTTAAAGTTTGTTTACCATCCAGCAGAGCCTTCCCCAAGGGACCTTGAGCTGAATTGATTCGTTATCAAAGTGATATATCAGCACGTGAGCGTTTGTTGCAAAAAGCCTATTGTCATATTACAGGACTTGACCAATAAAATCCCTTTGCTCTTGTGAATTGAATTTTTTCCCATGTAAAGCGACTGTATTGTTCCTGCCATCTAACGTGGCTGCCGTCACGTCATGGTGCAAAACCTCTATTGCCTGTTTGCATGTATGCTAAACAAAGTGTTTGCGCATCTCCCTATAAAACATGCGCAATATAAATAATAAATTATCATTAGTAATAGTCACTACATATATCGAGTATCGAGCATTTCAAGGCTTTTTTCTAAGGGAGGAGGRAGTATTTATGCCTCTTTATTTACATCTTTGTAAGGAAAACCAAACTGACTTGACACCCTTGTATGCCACGATATGCAAAAAAAGAATGTTCGTAAATAAAGGCATGACAACCGAATACAGTCTCACTGCATCCATTTGTTATCTGCTCTAGCGTCTACTWACTTTTGAGCATTGATGATATCAATGCATGGCCTGGATGGCATGGCCCAAAAGGTTGACTATTAAAGCACGCAAGTTTTTTTTATGCGCGATCAGCGCGGAGTCTTTACAGGCTCCTGACGTCTCGACGTCCTGACGCACKGCAGACGCTAGATTTATAGATGAATCAAAGCTACCATCCCATYAGCCATGGAGCTTTTAAGCGTGACATTATTCGAGTTCTGCAAAGATATTTTCTGCAGTTTTCTTCAAAGTGGTATTATTTCTACTTTCTTGAAGTGGAGGATGTCATAGATCTTACTTTTTGATTTATCTCATCTTAATAATGCGCATTAATTTTTGAGTTGAAACAAAAATATGTCACAAATTAAAAGCTCCGTAATATTTCAATTGCGATTATCACCGAGATTTTGAACATCAAGTGCCCGCAGATCTGGTCCAGAGGTGCCGTCTCCAGTGATTGACGCATCTTGGACAATCACTTCGGTACTAGTTGGGCTGACGGCGTTGTAGTTCAGTCTCAGCACATTCTTCAAGGTCACTCTGAATTTGGTGTTCATGAAGGTGTAAACCAGAGGGTTGTACACGACTGATGCTTTTGCCATGAGTTCAGGAACGAGGGACAAACCACCTTTCAGGATGGGTCTGCCGTAGGCTGTAGCCATGAGACTGACGATGCAGTAGGGAGACCAGCTGATAAAGAACAGGATGACAGCCATCACCGTCATGCGGATCATTCTTTTCTGGSTTTCCATTCGGCGGATGTGAGCGCTGTTGGAAGCACTAGGTTGTTGGAATGCGTTTTTCTTGATGAAACTTGAAAAARTATGGTAAATGTTACCGATATTATTGTCTAAATCTAGCTCAAAATCTACATCAAAATCATTCGAGATCAAAATCCAGATCTAGATCCAGAGCGAAATCGAAATCCGGATTAAAATTCAGACCGATAGTGGAATCCAGATCCAGAGCCAAATCGAAATCCGGATTAAGATTCAGACCGATAGTGGAATCAAGATCCGGAGCGAAATCGAAATCCGGATTAAGATTCAGATCGAAGGTGAAATCCAGATCCAAAATCGAAATCGAAATCCGGATTAAGATTCAGATCGAAGGTGAAATCCAGATCCAGAGCGAAATCGAAATCGAAATCCGGATTAAGATTCAGATCGATAGTGGAATCCAGATCCAGAGCGAAATCAAAATCCGGATCCAGATTCAGACCGAAGGTGCGGAAATCCAGATTGACGGAGATGGAGTTCAAATTTTATTTTTTTTAGATAACCACATAAAAAATTTCTGAACTTACCTGTAGGTCATGAAATAAGAGTAAGACAAGATGGTCAGTGGCAAAAAAAATCCAAAAATGACGAGAAATATAATATAAGCCTGGTCTGCGGGATCTTGAGACCCCCAGTCGGGGTGACAACTGATGCCATTCTCAAACGGCACAAATGAATTCCATCCAAAGGCCGGTGGGATGGCTACAACATAGAATTAGGGAACGAAAATATCAGAAAGAAAGTAGGAAATATAATGCTAGTCTTTGGCCGGCCTTTCCGAGGTTGCGCGCAAAATTAGTAACCGAAGAACGCGCGCTGAACCATGGGGCTTCTACGAGTGAAAAACGTCTGCGCATGCTCTGAATCCGTATGCAAATTAGTCAAAACATAAGTAATTTTGACTTTCAAACATGCCTGATAAATTGGACTTCACAAAATGCCAAAACTTATTGTACATGCTTGAAACTTAAGACTAATTCTTTCATATTGTGTTTGTTAATAGTATCTTGGTCTGACAAAAGTATACTCTCGAACTTTTTTGTTTACATGGAGAAAACAAACATTTATTTTCTCGCTCAAACTCTTCAAAATTCTTAGAAAACTCGCTGAAGTGTACGCATGCGCAAACGTTTTCCCCTGGTGTGTCCGGCGTGTTTATATCACAGTTCAGAGACATGCGCACGCGTTTTATATTCCTTAAATATCCAGCTGATCTGATTTAGTGACGTCGCAATGAAGTCACTGCAAAAGTGAGGCGTCGTGAAGCCGTCAAAAATTAACCATCAGAAAATAAAAACATGCTTGTGATTGCAATAAAAATATATAAAACTCATTCATTATTGTGTTATTGTTACCAAGTGCTTATTAGGAATGCTTTTAATTTTCAAAATTTCAAGAGAAAAAGTGACACCTCAGGTTTGCAATTTTTCTTCTCGATTCTGATTGGCTAACATTTCTCAGATCAGCTGGCATATATCCAAATGAACACAGCTACTTACACAAAACGAGTGAAAATATCCAAGTACAGGCAACAATAAAAAAATTCTTTTTGGAAAAACCTGACTCTGTATTCCTCACTCTCATAGTGGTGACGCCCGAGTACGAAACCACGCTCATTACGGTCAGYGTTGCTATGACAACGATTCCGACGAAGCAGTTGATGAAAGCAATCCAGCTACAGCGAAAGCGGTCTTCGGAGCTCATTTTTGTTCCAGACAGGTTGTAAGTTATTGAAACGCTATAAGGGAAACGAAACAAAAATCAAAGGAAAATGCTAGAAGAAAGGAGAGAAGCAAAGAGGCAAGAGAGTAGAGGGGAGGGGAGGAGAGGGGAGGAGAGGTGAGGAGAGGAGAGAAGCAAAGAGGCACGAGAGTAGAGCAGAACTGAACTGAACAGAACAAATTGCAAGAGACGGAGAAGGAGAGAATACGAGAGCGTACCTGTAGCCAACAGCACACAGGATTATATCCACTATACACATATTCAGCATCAGAGGAGTTATTTTCTTACGACGATGGTCTCGATGTAAAAGTACCGGGATGGTCAAAAGGTTTCCCGTCATACCGAGACAAAGAATAAAGAACATGACTGTTCCATAAGCAACGTACGAGCTCTTGCTCAAGCGATCGTCGTCGCTTATCGTCATGGTTTAGCCTGAGAATAAAAAGAAGCTCACAGTTTATACGTTGTAAATATAAATGAAAAAGAAAAAAAAACACTAAAGAACAAAAGAAAACAAAAAAACAAAAACAAAAAACAAAAAAACAAAAACAAAACAACAAAAAAGAAAAAAACAAACAAAAACAAACAAAAAAGAAAAAAAAAAAAGGAAAGTTAACCAGTGTTGTCAGTTTTTACCTATCAGGTACAATCACGAAAACAGACGTCGAAGTAAGAAATAATTTTTAAATTTAATATATACCTGAAACAATCCGCGTATTACGATGCATTTCGATAAGGATTTTTCAAACCGTTTTCTTTGACAACGTCAGCGTTTATATATTCATCTTTTACGTCAACATTATTAGTGTTAAAAAAACGACGATCATTAAAAATTTTTTGTTCAAATTTCTTTTAGAAAATTGCTGCAAATTATTTTTCCTCTTTAACTCACCTCAACTTGATTAAAATTAGGTGTAAAACGATCGAATTATTAGTGATCTCATTTAGGGAATGTTCAATTAAGATTGGAAGGTTTAACCCGAGGTGTTTGCCTTTTTCATAAGTTGAATATTTTTCTGCAATAAACATATAGAGTTATTGATTCCTATTTCAAATTCATAAGAAACTTCATCGACGAAACAAATGTACCGCACTTAAATGTTTTCCCTTAATGAATCTCTGATTGGTTAATTTCGGCATCTTTAATTGCTGATTGGCTCTAAATAATTGTTAAGGGGCGGCGTAAAAATCATCTTGCGCAATGTCGATCGATAATATGTTCTATCTGTCCTTTTCCACGCTATTTTCTTGAAATATAACTTAGAATCAAACGTGTAGGATTTTTTGTCGATAAGATTTTGTTATCAGGACGTGAAAAGGATTCTACATGTCAACAAAATAATGTGAAAGTAGAGCTATGAGAAGAAACATCCTACGCTCTTTGGTATGTATCTAAGGAGGGGTCTCTTTAGCAGCCTTTTACTTCTCCGACCTTAGGGGGATGGAACGAGAGTAAAAACCGCTGCCAYTATTTCACAAAAATTGAACGAAATCTTGAGTTGAAAAGTGTGAGTTTTACTTTAATTTTCACAAAGGTTTGATTGGGAATGGGCCTCGCCTCTCTCCGTGATCTCTGGTTTTCCTCCCTCCACGAAAACCAACAACCTAAATTCCAATTC